CTTTCAATCAAAAATATTTGACAAGGATACAAAATACCTATGTTCATTGCAGAAGAGTATTTTACTTCTATCTCTTACTTCAAATAGTTTTTAAAATAATTCGTTAATAAATTACAATAAAAATTGAGTTTTCTTCATTGCTGTACGAGTATCGAGATTAAATTATAAAATTTTCACTATATATAGATGTATCAACAAAACTAAAAAAGCCTTATATTTTCATACAATTATTTCTTATTCTATTTCTAGCTTTTACGAACTATTTCTAATCCTGAACTACACACAATTGATGAAGTTCCAGAGGAAATAACAATACAATCATTTAAATTTACTCGAAGTTTATCTGATTTAAATGCAACAAATACTATTATTGAATCATCACAAGAAGATATTTTTACATGTACAAAATTTCAACATACTAAGAAAAGTAATTCAATACCAAGTAATCAAAGTTTTGAACATGATGATCATGAAGATAAACAAATATTATCATTAACATTAAAAAATTGTTTAAATGATGATGAAATTAAATTAAAACATACAACTAGTGAACCAGTTATAAAATCAAATAATGATAATGATAACAATGATGATGATGATGATGATGATGATGATGATGATGTTTGGTGTAATCCAGAAGATGAAAATAACCTTGAAAATCGTGTTAAATTTGATCAAGAAAGAATCGAACAAATACGACAAATTCTTGGTAATGAAATCTTACAGATGATTCTTGAAGCATTTGAAGTAAAGAAAAAAAAAGAATTTTCCACATAAATTTTCAATAATTTGTTTTTGTTTTTCTCTAGCAAAATGAAACAGATATTGAATCATTAAAAAAACTTATACCAGAAGATAAACATTATTTATTTGATTCTGATTTTTTATTAATATTAACAATGATAAATACACGATCAATAAACTAAATTAGTCTGCAGTATCTGTGTTGTTTGTGATAATAATAATAATAATATTATTCCGTACAATTTTATCTTTGTGTCTTCTTTTTTTTTTTATATGTTCTTATTTTATTGCACTCATATCATGAGAATATTGTATAAATTGTTTTGTTTTTCTTTCTAATAATATACATTTTTAGATTAAACTATGGGAAAATTTATAGTTTTATTGACTTGTTTGGTATTAATTTTGGCATATATTGGGAAAAAATTGATCGATTTTGGAGTATTTCGGGATATTAAAACAGTAGGAATTGATAAATGTCGATTAATTGTGCCATCAGATGGAGGTAATTTATTTTGATAGATTGAAAATTTTCACAAAAGTTTACTATAGATAATCAAGCTTTTGAAGATTTTGCAATTGATTATGACACAGGTATTGCTTATATGGCTAGTGATGATCGTACATGGTTTCATACGTTTAATTTATCAAATCACAATAATAAAAAACAACAAGGAAAAATTTTTACATTTAATATTCAATCTGAAACATTTAAACAATTCAATTTAATCAATTATCCATATGAACATTTTCATCCATTAGGAATTAGTTTATTAAAAAGAGAAAATTATCAAGTAAGCTAAACAACATAGAAGTACATATCTGAATTCAATAATATTTAGTTATTTATGACAAATTATCGAATAGATAACGGAGAATTGATTGGAACTGTAGATATTTTTGAAATTGATTTTTCAAATGAAAATCAAATAAAGTGGATTGATTCAATTGTTCATCCTCTATTTACAGGTAGTTACGTTTAATTGAAATGAAGAAAATAATCAGCAGCTATATGCTTTAACGCTCATATTCATAATCAAAAGTTTAAGAATGAATCGAATGAAAATTTGAACTATTGGTTTATACTAAATGAATAATTAAACATTGAATATTTTATATTATATGTTTTTTTTTTCATAAACATAGTACCCGACGATGTTTTGGCAATTGATGAGAAGACATTTTATGTAACAAATATTCATCATCATAGAATAGATAAGTCAAGGTTGATGCACACATTTGAAGTTTTTTCTCAACGTCCTTGGGGTAATCTATTATTATGTTCAAAAACAAATGAATGGCAATGTTCTATAGTAAATAGATATGATTTTGTTATTTTTAAAATTTTAATCAATGTTGTTGATATATTCCTAGATTGTTGATTCTGTTTCTATGGCAAATGGTATTGCTAGTTCATTAGATTTTAAAACTATTTATTTAGCAGCATCAACAGAAAAACGAGTCAGTCGAATATTGTCTTGTGAATTTTATAAATAAATAATTATTATTTTTGTCAGATTCGTGTATATGAACGTCATTCAGAAAATAATTCCTTAACTTATGTACGAAGTCTCTTTGTACCATTTTTTGTGGATAACGTAATTGTTAATGATCATGATGAAGTTATTGTTGCTGGTCATCCAAATGCACTATTATTTTTTTTACACGCAAAAGATCGCCAACAACATCATGCTCCTTCTGAAGTTGCACTGTTTCCTTATCCGAAATCAAGTAAAACTTATTCCTTTTTTTATGTATCAAGTTAATACATTTTCTATAATCATAGATTCAACATTTAACACACTACTACTTACTAATGGTGAATTACTATCAGCATCAACTGTTGGTGGTACATATAAGCAAAAACTTCTTGTTGGTGCTTTCATTGATCCTGGAATTTTAATATGTCAAGATTAGTTGTGAAGAAATAGACTAATATTACTTTTGCTATTCTTACAAATATTACATCAACGAATCGAATTATGAAAGATTATAAAATAATTAGATAGTATACTAATATAGGTTTTAGAATTTATTTTAGCTAGAGTACTATTATATAAAAACCGTTTTTTTCAAATAATAATCAAGCATCTATAATAAATTGTTTAAGGATGGCATATCGTGAATTCGACTTCGTCAACACTTAGTTTAATGTGATATATTATTGAACAGTATTAATAATTACTAATGATAGTCTTGTTCATACAAGTATACCTTTTCAACAAAAATTCTAATATGAATCATTAGCCAAACTACACCTGAATAAACTTGCTTGAGTGAAAGTTTTCCATTTCTATGACTGAATACGAGTGTACGACTATGGCTTCCGTGAAACTTGCTCTCGTGACTATTTATTTCTTATGGCTCTGAGAATTACCAGTGGTGGAGCTGGAAGGGAGCGTTGAGTCTCTCTCACTAGCCGGAAATCCTGACTCCGCCATGAAGAATTACGAACAATCAAAATATAATCAGAAAAATACTGAAGTTATATGTAAACTTTCTTACCTTCGTCTTCGCTTTGATACTTCCTTTACATTCACCAGCAGTCTCTCAATATCAGAAGTGCAAGCATTGTAGAAACATCTTTCTAAAATGTAGCAGTCCTACTACCAATGAATACTGTCATTAATGTATATAACTTCATATCTGATCTAATGAAATGAATATATCATAGATGTTTTTCTTTTGCAAAATGAAATAATATGAAAATTATTGATATAAATCAACTTTTACAATGAAAACATAATAATTTTGTATTGAATAAAGAAGATATTTTGCTTGCAGACATATTCTTCATGTTTTACCATTGCCTTTTCAAAGAACATCTTGTTTTTTGTACTAAATGACTCAACTACAGATAATGGATGTTTTAATAGAAAGATACAGTCCTTTACATAAAATGAAAAATCATTATTTTCTTATTTCGATAATAAACACTCTAATCCATGTATGAACGAGTAATATGCAATGTCTCATTTATTTTATTGTTCAATTAACTAAATAATCTATGCTAAAATATAAATGATTCATATTTAGGCAACATTTGAACGAAATATATTTATTCTTCTTTTATTCTTTTGTTTGCTATTTTGATACTAATGATAACAACACTATCACAAAAGTATCTTTACATTGAATGTAAAAGATAAGAATATGTGTTACTAATATGTTTACCTTGAAATTTTATTCTAAGTAAACCAATTTGACGTTATGCCGCCTCAAACAAAATATGCTGTGCCTCCTGTCGAAGCAACAGGTTTTAGCATTTTTGTACGTACCTCATATGCAGCAAGATACAATTTTGCTGTTGCAAATTATAATTCTGTATCTACTGCTCATAAATTAAGTATGTTCGGTAATCGTTTACTTTTATTTCGATCCGTTGTAGCTGTTATTTGGATCGTATCAATGGCTTTTGCAGTTCTTACTCTAATTAAAGCTGGTTTAATCGGTGTTACTATTGTTTTGAGTTTGATATATATTATTATATCAATTTATAACATCTATGTCTTTTTCACAAATGGTAATCTTCTTTATTCAACACGTCTTTTACGAGCTAAAGTTAGCGGACCCGGTGGTCATGATTATGAATGGGTATCTGTACCACTTGATTCACGTAGTGCAAATGAACGATTAGCTTCTGTTGAGCAATCAGCACTTGACAATGTACGAAGAGAATTCGGAGGAAATAATACCGCTGAAATCGATTGTATGGTATATACAAAACGTTATGCTGATATGTATCCTGCATTTCCTAAAGAACTTATTTTACATTTGATTGCATTTTTAGTAGCAATTACAGTTGGTATTACACTAACTGTAGTTAAAGTAAAGTATTTGTAATGTGTTTTTATCATTATTTAAATAAAAGTATATAAACTATACAATAAAATTGTACGATCTCGGCTAGATGAGAAAAGAAAGGCGAACATTATTCATAGCACAAGAAAATATATAAAACATATATATTAGCATTGGAAACAAAACTGTAGCGCATATTAAAGTGAATAAGGAAATCTACACACTGAGCAAAAATTGCGTCCGTCTTCATTATAGTTATTTTGTGTTTTACAACCAATACAAATATAAGTTCGAGGTCGAGAATTCACACTATACGATCGATTTTGCCTAGTAGATGAATTGTAATCTTTTGAGTGTGACATAGATGTATTTGTCGATTGATTTGAATTGAATTGTTGATACGACATGGGCATTGAAATATTTGAGTCTGAGAAAGACAATACAAATGATTGTTATTATACTATTAAAAAAAAACTTTTACTTTGATTATAAGAACTATACAACATGGAATTTGTTGAAACATTTGGTACTTTTATATTTTTTTGACTTGCATTAATAGGTATAACAACTAATAATGTATCCCAATTAATACTATTTGTATTATATGTATCAATTCGAATTTGTTCATTAAATCTCTGAACTATGCCATTAAGACTTGTTAATTGTTGTTTTATTCGATCAAGATCACCTTCAACATATCCACCAGTTTTTTGTCTTTGTTGTAAATCGTGTGAAATTCGATCAAGTTCAGTACGAACATTTTTACTTGCTTCAGATAACAATTGTCGAACTTGTTCGCGTGCTATTATTGCAATACGATCAATATTTTTATGCATTTCATTTTGCCATCGATTAATTTCTTCGAAACAAGGATTAATATTATTTGTATTGTTTGATGAAGCACTATTAATAATTTCAGAAAGTTCATTTCGATGATTAACAAGATCATCAAGTTCCATTGACAGTTGATCACGATGTTGAGATAAACATGTTGTACAAAATTTTTTTTGACAACCTTCGCATGATGTAATACTTGGTTGATTTCTACAAATAGCACAAATTGATGATGTACCAAATGGCATCATCTACAAATATAAAAATAAATCATTAGTAGAATGACATTTATATGATTAAGAAAACGATCATAAAAAAAAGCATATATATATATATATAACTTTATTTAGTAAACTAGTAAATAATATTCAATTTATATTTGCAGTTTTTATTCTTTATATGACTATATTGTATTGCATGCAATTACGATGAGTCATATTGTTTACTTTAGACATCCGATGCTTGAGAAAGTATTTGATCATTGTTTCTCAATGTAAAAGTTATAGAATTCATTAATTCATCATTCTGCAATGAATTTCGTTGAAAATTATTAGACATAGTTTTTATTGCATTGGTATATGAATTCCGTACAGCAATTGAAGAATTAGATGTATCACAAGCAGTAAGTCCGATTGGTTCAAAAATTGCAGATGTATTACCTTTAATATTTGATTGTTGAGTTTTGACATCATTATTTGCATGTTTATTTCTTATGAATTTTCGTATAGTCTTCCAAATTTTTTCTTGAGTACTTTCTTCTTCAAAATGAAATTCTGAAAAATCGAAACGATTTTCTATTAATTTTTTTTCGGGTAATTTTTTATCTGCTGTAACATTGATCAAAGAATTCCAATCTACTTTATTCGTTCCTGTATAATTTATTCGAATTTTTTCATTAATTGTTCTAATAGAATTATTTAATTGTTCTAATTGATTTCGTATTTCAGCAATATCATTATCTAAATAATTTCCTTCATGTTGACGTTGTTGCATATCAAATGTGAGTTGATCAAAACGTTGACGAATATCAGATATATTCTTTACCATGATATCTTTAACAGTTGTTCGAGCTTTTTCAGCAATTTGTCGAATACCATTGATAAACTCTTGTTCCCATTGATCGATTTCAAATAAACAAGGAAGTTCTTTTTTGTTTTTCCAATTTGATTCAACAATATTAAATGATTCTTTTAATTCATTTTGAACTCCAAATAATAATTGGAATTGTATTACAAGTTCTTCATGATGTGCATTCATACATGGAAGACAATATAACTGTTGACATCCTTCACAACGTGTATTACTCTTTCGTTCGTTACACCATGATGATATTCATATAAGATGAGATGTGTTAAGAACCTTTTTTTATCTTAACATAAAACACAAGAAACGAAACGACGTCCTAGAACAATGACTACAAAGGACATTTCATTTTTTCTGTGAGTCAACACAATAAATTATCTGAAATGAAAAAAAGCAAAATAATATTCTGCAGAAACTTTTCAGAACTAACCGATCATTTAACGCAGAAAAGAAAAATAACAAAATTCGATTTCGTTATGATAAGAAACCCAATTTGCATCTACAATGATGCGTGTTTATGAATATTTTTGACACAGTTGTTTTGCTAATATCACGGTAGAAAAAAAAGAATTTCTAAGATGAATCAATTCAATTCTTCGTTTGCACTTAATTATTTTCATAGTTGTATGGCATGTTTCCAAAGTATCTAATGCACTTATGAAAAGCTTTATTTACCAAGCCGTAAAGTAGATTTATCAGAGATAAGTGATTAACTACCTAGAAAAAGAGCAGATGTATATTAAACTCTTTCAAAATGCATTCATAATTCTTTTAAAGAAAATTTACGTAGCATACCTCAAATGATAGCAGTTCTTTCACTTTTTCTTAAAATCACATGATTATGAATTGAAGAGTTAATAATTTCAATTAAAACATGGACAAACAAGAATCCATGAGAGATTTAACTTATTCTGTTTTACTTTTATACTTTTCAAGCCACTGTGGCTTTCATATTTTTCCTTCATTAGTCATTTCAGTCTCTTCAGAGTGTCGAGTGTGCATATGAATAAATGTATATGAGATTGAATAGAAGACGTACACTCACTCATACACTAATATGACTAAACAAACGCAGAGGACTCAAGTATTCTTATAGCTTTAAGAACTGTGAAAGCATTAAAGTAAAAAAGGATGAATATGATTGCTCATCAGCCTACGCAATGATCGGTAAGTCGCACATAGAGAAAAAAAATAGACAAGAACTAAAACGAAAGCAGATGTCACTGCAAAAAAAGGATTTTTAAAGATGATTGTTTATAAAGTTCTTGACGGATGTTTAACACAAAAACACACAGTAGTCAAAACATTTATATTCAATAAAGTTTGCGTTCTGAGTGGATAAAAACCTAGTATTATAGAAGAATTGATTCACCAGCTATGACTAATGAAATATTAGAAAACAGCTTTAAATTAAACCTAAGTTATAGGAGACATTTTCATGTTGTATTGATGTTTTAGGTGAAATTAGCGTGCGAAATTTCTCAATGTGCATCAAACTGTGATAATTTTCTGAAAAAATCGCAATCTCTTTAAGTCCAATATTAAATAGAAACGATCGGTTTTATCCACAAAAATGATTAGTAAAACCGCAGGTTATTTTGACAGTTTTCATTACATGAGAAATATGATAAACGAAAGTGACAAAATGACTCAATACATCAAACTACTAGAAGAATTGTAAAAAAAAATAATACAAGACCTTTCGAAATATTATTAACATTTTTGTAATTTTGGAGTCGAACCTCCACGTTATTTTTATATGTAGAATGAGGACATAACAAACAATTGTCGAACTTCTAGTTCGAGATAATAATGTCGTTGTTATATCTTGTTCAAGGTCAAGTGATATAACATACTGTGAAATAATGATAAAAAAAGTGACAGTATATAATTGATATACTAGGACTGTTCCATAATAGGAAGGTACTTAAGCTCCAGGAAATCTAGCTTAACTTTAAGAATTGTATGATATACATGACATATATCGGTGAAATTATACTATTTCTAATAAATTTATACTGGTAAAGGCGTCTTGTCTTGAAGTAATTTTTGAATTAAGAGTTATAATATTTATTTATTTTGAAAAATTTACTTAGTAATACCGAATTCTAACTGTCTTTCATAACTTTATCAGAAGTTTGTCCTAATGTCGATGGTATTTTGCTTGATAAATCGTTTTCAACAATATAAATCAATGTATGTCATTCGATATTGCAGAATCAATATAGATTTTCTTCTTGGCTTGATCAATATTATTTTTCTATTTGTTCTAAAAATCATTAAGTCTATTTATAAAACTTATATAGTGTTGTTCGTATTTATTCTATTGAATATCAATAAAGAAATGATCAATTTAACAACAAATCATATCCATATTCTTCTGAGTTCTTTCATTGATATATGTTCAAACTTTTGAAGAAATTTATCTATTAATACAATCATATCAAATGATTCTTTTCATTCATTTTAAAATCTATATTGATAAAGAAATCTTTTGTATGTTGTTTTTTTCTCATACAAGTTAATCACAATAAATTATCATATTCTTTACATTGCGTAGTTCAATTTCATTCTATAAATTGTATAACAAAGATTTCATATGATATTAATAATCTAAGATTAAAATAAAACATTTAATGATTATTTTAATATATTTTTTATTCAAGATCTTTTTTCTTTATATACCATCGATCAAAACAAAATAAAGGGAAATAATTACAGCATCATGATCAACAGAACTACTACAAACAAAAGACAAAATAAAAAAATAAAGGAAAAAAACAACAGTATATTTTTATTTTATTCGTCGTTGTACTCGTTATAAACATAAAACACTTTTACCAAAAACAAAAACAAAACAAATGTACAGAATAAAAAGACAACAAATTACTTCATAGATCGATTCAATCTACATATGACATTATCACATAAAAACACTTTCGAGATAACCACAGGATAACTGCTCTTGTGTTGTTGTTATTATTGTTCTTTTTTCAGATTAACTCGATCATTATTATTATTAGTAGTATTATTATTAACGTGAAACATACAGAGTAGCTTTACATATTGAACAAGAATGATTCGTTCCATTTTTAATATCATTTAACAGATTTAGAGAACGACAATATTGACAGATAACTTTCAGTGGACCTTTTATTTTCGGTGATGATGGTAATGGGGTAATAAAATCAGAGGTTTTATATAATGTTGGATATATATTCATTGGTGAAGGTCGTAAAGTAACAACATGACGTGGAAGAAGATGTTTTTTATTATAATCACATTCAGAACATAAAGCAGTTGATAATAAATCATTAAAATTACGTTTGCAAACAATACATGGACGAATTTTATCTGTTTTTTGTTCGAAATCGATCAAATTCGTTGGTGATGAGTCGGATTTTACAACATTAACAGGAATTCGAACTAAATTTTGGTGTTGTTGTTCTAAAACATTATATAAATAAATCACATAAATCAAGAATTTTAATATACATAATATTAGCTTTATGTTTAGTAAAGTGACAAACTATGAAAGCTTTTAAAATTGATTCTCTATTATTTATTGCAATTTTATAAGCAAACCCAAATTAAAGAGAAATAGAAGAGTGAATTTAATATAATCAAACGCAAAATTAAAAAAATACACGCACAATCAATGCCTCACTTTTATCTCCTGAATATTTATAAAATACAACACATCGAACTTCGACTATTCGAGTCTATAAAAAGATGAATTGAACATTATTCTACTCATTATAAATTACTACTAAATTACAATCACAGTTCTATCTAAATAGTTCTTATTAGAAAAATTTCTATGTGTGTGTGTGTGTGAGAAAACGTGTTTTTAATAAAAGCATAATGGCAAGCAGCAATAGCAGATATGTAATATATGATATAAAATAAAATATCTAAAGAAAAATTTAGCAAGGAAGTATAGAAATAAATAATAATCATATAGTAGGAAAAAATCAATGCTATCACGCACTCTTACATCAATCATCAACACCTCTGGATCGTAAACACGCCAGAGCCACTAGAAGACAGAAAATGTTTTTTCTAGTCAATTTTGATGCAAAAATTTGGAAATAATCATTGAAGTAAAAAAAAAAAAATAAATAAAACGAAATCTAGTTAAAATATATAATTAATAGACTTAATTGAGCCATATAGCACACACGCACACACTAAGAACAATAGCCAACAACAATAAAACTTTTTTTCTTTTTCTTTTGTTTTTAATATTTGCAAAAAAAGTAAGTTAAAACTTACCTTGTTTCAATTTGGAATCATTTCCTCGTGAATGATTATTACTATTGCTTATGTTTTTACCATTGAGTATCAAATCGTCACTATTCGATTCCCAATCAGTTTTAAGTGATAGTTGTTTTCCATTATTATAATGATTATGATGGAGTACTGGAGTACGTTGCGTTATTTGTACATTATTTTGTGGTTTTTGTAATGGTTGTTGTTGTTCTGAATATTGATTAATCGAACGATTTCCATCATTTGATGATACATATGTTGTTCCATTAGCTACAGCTTGATCATATGACGGTCGTCGTTCATAAATAGGAATATTTTTATTATCATTTAATCTAGTTGATATGGATGAATATGGTGGTGGTGGAGATGAATCATCTCTTTTCATTACTGATCGTTGATTTGTCTCATATGATGATTGATTAGGAGAATAATATTCTTGTTCAAATCTTCGTTTATCTTCTTCTTCTTGTATTTTTTTCTTTTGTATTTCAAAAAAATCCATAACATAATTATAATAAAGAAAAAAAAAATCATCTTTTTCGGGCAATGCTCTATTGCCTAATTCAACACATAGAATAGGTAATGGTGTACCATTTGTATCCGGATAATAAGATAACCTTTTAGTACGTAAATAACTTTGAAGTAATTTATTATTTTGCTCGGAACTATTATCATTACCTAAAAATCGTATTGGTAATAGAGTTTGATTTCGAGTATGTTCAATTGATTGATAAAGTGGAAGAAAATTATCTAATTTTGATCCTGTATTTAAATCATTAGTTTGTAATGGACAAAAATGTGATTGATCATATGCTAATACAATTGGTATAGGAACACAATCTTTTGGTTTTGATAGTATAGGTAAATAAATACCAAATAAATCATTATATGATATAGCTTCACCATGTTTATTTCGTACAACATCTTCAGATAAAATAATAATTGGTCGTGCAAGCATATTTGATATAGAAAAAATATGTGCAGCTTCAAGAAATTGTAAATTTGATGCTGTTTGTCCATCATCTGAGCTATCATATCGAACAAGATCACATAATTCTTCCCATTCCTTACAAAAATAATCATTATAATCAACAAAGTTTGTTTAGTTCCTTTTCTTTTTCTGTTAATTTAAACTTACACTATCAAGTTTGGAATGTTCAGATTGTATACCATACATTTGATCAGTTTTTAGTCGTTCACTTTTCCAACTTCCTTTAAGTACGGCTTTATTTTTATCCATAAATTGAAGAAGTCGATCACGTAAATATAAATTAAAATCATGTACACCAACCATAGCAATAAGTACGGCATGAAGAAGACAATTACCATTACCTGATGTTCGAACTGGATAGAGTTTTTTTAATGATGGCATCCAATTAATAACTCGAGTTTCATTCATCATTTTCAACATTGTACGATCGATTAAATATCGTTGACAATCTGTCGTAGAATCTTGTTCAAAGAATTTATAAGGTAAAACACTTGTATATTGTGTTAATTCTGGTAGACGTTCAATAAGACTTTGATTGATAACACTTAATATTTGATCAGCTCGTTGTTTAAATCTTTCAGGAATAGGTAAAAATTCTTTATTTGATGGTGATGATGCTGATTTAGCTTTCGGTCCACAACAATAATTTTGAAATGTATTAAAATAATGAGGATATACTGTATCAAGTGGTTTTGATGCACGAGTTGTTGTTCCTGATACACTCGTTGTTTCCGTCATCATAAAATAAATAATCGAATGAAAATAATTTACATTACATCAAAAATTATATATATGTGTAACATATAACTAGTATACGTAGGAATCAATATATCTAAAAATGCAAGACATTACGCATTTGAATATTGTCAAAAACAAATGAAAGTATATAAAGACGAAATAAAATGATAATCGATTGTAGATGTATGTCTGACATCGAAGAATGAGAACAGTATGAATTATATGCTTTTTTGTTTTTTACTTTTATGTTCTGTAAGGAAAATATGATTCATAAAATGATGTGATGCAAAAATATTGTATAAATCAATGGTTCGAAGCTTTTTACGATCATTAAAATGACGTTTATTTTTTTCCCCTTCTACTCATAACTATATAAGACTTCACATTGACATGACAAGAAAAGAAAAGATAAAAAAAACAAGAATCATAATGTATTTCTACGCATAAAATAAAAATAACACCATTAAATTAAAAAAAAATCGATAAATATATTTCTATAGAAAAAAAAAATTTTCATCATTTATCAAATGTGAAAATGTCAAAAGCAATTCAATTATATATAGAAAAAAATAATGTGGACCTTTCTCTTTTTTTTTAAACATAGGAAAAAAACACTTGTTGATGTTCTTCCATTCTATTTTTTCCTCTTCAACAAAGTAGGAAAAAAACAACAATAATAACAGTCGTATTAGTACTTTTTTCTTTTTTTTTCTTTCTTTCTTTCTTTCTATCTTTCCTTCTTCAAGGCAAAGAACAAGATTCCGTTGACAGACACAAAGCATGTTTTACTCTATATCATTTTTCTTTGCTGTATCAAAAATGTTATTATTGATTATATTTGTCGATGCACTCATATATCCCACTGATAGTTTAAAAATAGTTCCACCTGCTACTATTATCCAGTCTCAGACGCCTGCTGGCATCTCAATAAAACACACTCCGAAAAATAATGGTATGTGAGCTATTGCTTTTGATATGATAATATAGTTTTTTTTTCTAGAACAATCAGTTGCTATCGAAGGACAATTTATAATAAATGCAAGCAATTCAGATGATTTATTTCGATCGCATGATTTTATAAAAGAAGATATTGTTCAATTTAACGAAGGTGACACTGAGAATATAAAAAATGATGAAAAAATTAGGTAATAGGTTTCATTCTAAAATAATCCATGTCGAAATAGTACTTTAGACGTTCACGTAATACGATAAATCCACGTTTACCACCTATTCAAATAATCGAAGGTCATTTTATTCATTATGGAAATGATTCTGATGAACACTTATTTGATGAAGAAGATTTTCAAAAAATAGAATTATAACTCAATTTGATGTATTCATTTATACTTATGTCAGATAGAAATAACTTATTCATATAGTTTTCATTTTTTCATGTATGTATAAAACAAACAATATTTTGTTTTTTTATTGTTATGCACCAAATAAAAATTATTCATATGAAACGAATAACAGAAATATATGTGTAAAAACCTCTGTGAAATTGTATCATCTATTATTATAATACCTCTTTCAATAAAAATATTTTATCATGATTAAGCAAAACATGAAGACTTATGTAAAAAAAATAATTATTGATAAAATTCTTAAAAAAATTATTCAACAATAACAAATAAACAAATTTATAATAGATTATACAAAAAAACATATTAACAGAATAAATAATCACAAAGAAAAAAAAACAAAGAGTATTTTAAACATTATTTTGTTCTAGAAAAATCAAATGAAAACTTTTTAAACTAAAATAAAAAATATATTTGCATTGAAATCTACGCATACAAAATAATAATAAATCAAATTTTGTCATTATTATTATTTGCTGTTTATTTAAAAACTTCCTTTTACATGATAATTATTAATACAATGTCTTCTATTCATAAGAACAAAGTTTAGAAAATCTCATTAATTTGATAGGATTTAAATTGATTAACCATACAACATATCGAACCGTGCTGTCTTTAAAAAACGAAGAAGCGAAAATAGTGAAGGAAGATGGTTGAATAACTTTTATGATAAATATGATAAAAATTTTTTTCTATAATTATATTTTCAAACACACATCTATGAAACAAGATTATCAATCTGAAAGAAAAACAAGAAATAATTTTGTATTTTGTTGAAAGTATTCTATATCAGTGCAGTATTTAATGGTAAACGCCATCATATCGAATTCTTATTCTTTTTCGAATACTTTGTTTTCACAACAAGAAAAAAAAGAACAATTTATTTGATGACTTATTAACTATTAATTTTCTTTAAAATATTAAAGCTTTTACTAAAAATATTTTCAACATTGTTTGTTTTTTAGAGAATCTATTATTCTTAGAAAATGTTTGTCTTCATGATTTTAAATAATAGATAAATAATTTTTATATTTACTTTTTAAAATAAATATATTTTTCAAAATGGATTATCTTCATTTTGCCATACTTTTGTTTGGTACATCAGTAAGACAACAAAAAAAATAAACCTGAGGAAAGAAAAAAAGATTTTCTATGAAAAGAAAAATAATAAATTTCTTTTTAACATACATTAAATAGTTTTCGATTAATTTTGTAATTTAAATGGAAAATTTTCATGTTTGAAAAATTTGTTCTATACTGAAGCATGTAATTCTTTATGTTTAATTGTTAAAAATATATTGTTTATGACTGACATTATATAATTCAAAACGACGTATACTCCGTGAATTATCATGATAATTTTTCTGCACTAAATAAAATTAGTTTTTTTTTTCACTTGTTTCACTTCAATTGAAGTAAAATCAAATTATTTAATTAAATTTTTCTTTTTGATGATGTAGAAAATAAAAAGAAACTAGCTCAACCATATCATTATTTGAATATGGAGAAATTTTTTTCATTTTGTTTATTTTTGAGTATTGTAAACAGTTATTCTAAATAAATTGATTTCTAATTAATTTGCATTGAAAATATATTGCTGTACCTTCTACTGTCAATATTTAGATTTTTAATGATTTGTATTTCTTTTTTTTCTTCAAGGACAAATCAATTAGAGAAATTGTTCATACTCATGTGAGAAAGCCTATTGCTGAGTGAAAACCTTTATATGAAATTTTATGTGCATGATATATATATATATAACTATATACATAAGAATGTTTTATTATTATTATTATTAAATAAATAAAAGAAAAAAAAATTGTTCAAGATGAAACAAAACATGAAAGTTAACTCGAAAGATGTCAGTGATGTTCAAAGAAAAGTTCATCATTCTTGATAATGTAAATGTTTCGTAGTTTCAAGTTTTTTTTGATCTTCAGTTGAAACATTTGGTATTTTAGTTGGTAAAGATTTTTTTAATGCAGATGATATTGGTTTTAATGATGTTCTTATTGTTGGCATTGAACTATTGTTATCAACATTTGAAGATATACTTTTGGGTATTAAAAGTGGAAATGTTTTTATTGAAGTCTTAGTCTTCAAAAAAATAAAATAAAACAATAGATGTATATTTATTGAAAACAAAAAATAGTCTTTTATCCTTACTCTTGGTGTTAATTTTGGAAACATTGGTTGTTTATCTTGTTGCTTATTACTGTTTTCTAATATTAGATTAGGAATATGTGTTGCTTGTGAATATGGTATTTGATAATCAACCACATTAAAACAATGTGTATCATTTGATATTGAACGATAAACTTGTTTTTCTCGATCTTTTGCAATAAATAAAGGTGTAATCATTGAATCATGTCGATTTGAATAATCATTTTCACATATTGTATTGATTTCTGTTAATGATTTTGTTTTCATTGATGTATTATTATGTTGAGATGTTGATCTGTCTTGTAAATAACTACGTACAATATCTTTACTGTTAGTCATATTTTTTCAAAAAAGTAATACCTAAACTTTCTCGACTGATGAAATGTGATGAAGAAAAAAAGAAAGAAAAGAAGTGCCCTTAAGAACATTCATTATTCAAAAAGCTCATTTTTTTTTTATCAACAGTAGTAGCTGCAAGTTGGCAGTTTCCATAGGTTATCAATTCTGTGTTTATAAATATCTGTCATGTTTTTGACAAATAATAGAGAAAAGAATAGAGTATCATTTTCTTGTCATATTATCTATTTTTGCTCATCATACATGTTTATAAATAAACCCATTGACAAGCAACTAACTGGAAGATTAAACAAATACAAAACAAAAAGGAAACAAAGCAGATTTTCATTGATTAAAAAAAAAAAACATCATAGTATTGGTTGAAATATAGATATTGTTGTTCATTCTATTCAAGATCTAATTCAGGCACAAAAGCATTACTACCATCGGCAGATAATAAAGACCGATTATGAACGGACTAAAAAGAAAGAAAAAGAATATGAAAAAAATTTTTTTTTTCTATCTAATAAGAAAGATTTTTAAAGTATACTTGAGCGATTCTTGGTAAACGTCTGATTAATTCTTGAAATATTTCAGATGATAGTGTTTGTTGAAAGAATTCCATTAAATTTTGAGGTTGACTACAAATGACAACAGCTTTTGCTAGATATTCAATACCATTATCAATATCACCTATTGAAATTCTTAATAAATAAGCAACCAAAAAAAAAAAGGAACAGATGATACTTACCACAAGATAAACAATCTTCACCTCGTTGAACTTGTTCAAGAAAATATCGACGCATTATCTCAAGATTACTCATATCCATCTAATAGAAATCATCGAATAATATTTAAAATAAAAATTTCTTACAGTTGTACGTGAACCTCCTCCTCTAGCATTTGACTGTTTTTTTTGTCTTTCTAAATTCAAAATGGACGAATTTCGTTGTAGAAGAAATTTTTTTTTTCGTATTAAAGACTTACTGACTTTTAATTTTTCAATAAAATCAGGTGCACTTCGCCGTTTTCGATCAAAATATACACAGTATCCAACAAAACTAACGCCAAGACCAACGGCTGCTACTAAAGGCCAAAGCGTTTTACTATTAGCAATCATCTAAAATACTTTGAAATTTCAAGGTATTACTCAACATATGTCTACGTCATTCAATATATTCAAACGTAAGAGAACACTACAGCAATCATTGTGTCCACGTTGACATTTCCACGTTGAATGATTTGTTTTTCAACTATATATATATATTAGTTGTGAATTTATATGAAGACAAAAAACAAAATATTTCTTTTTTCTGAAAAACAATGGGTCTTCTTATTAGTCGATTATATGATGCATTATTGTCATTTTCTTATGGCACACCTTCTCGAATTCTAATGCTTGGCCTTGATGCAGCGGGAAAAACAACTATTTTATATAAAGTAAAACTTAATGAAACTGTTCAAACTATTCCAACAATTGGTAAATAATCATATTGAAACTTTGATAAATAATGTCTTTATCTATATTCTAGGATTTAATGTTGAAACAGTAACACCTGCACCTGGTATTACATTTACAGTATGGGATATAGGTGGACAACATAAAATTCGTCCATTATATAGACATTATTTTGATAAAACTGATGGTCTTATTTTTGTTGTTGATTCATCAGATCAAGAACGATTCCAAGAAGCACGTGATGAACTATTTAGTATTATTACAGATGAACATATGTGTTCAGTACCATTTGTTATCATAGCTAATAAATCGGATTTACCAACAGCTGTTAAACCAAGTGAACTTATTCAACAACTTAATCTTCATTCGATTCCAAGACGAAAATGGTTTATTCAATCAACTTGTGCTACTACTGGTGATGGTGTTGTTGAAGCAATGCAACAACTAGCACAAATGATAAAAGACAATAGAAAAAAATAACTGATAACTAAAGTTTTATTTTAACCTATTGTTATTGTTTTTTTTTCTGTATATAAAAATATTTTATATGTAATAAACTAAAATTTATGTTTCTAAAAAACAATACATCAAAAAACATTTTCTTCTAATTGAAGTATTATTTGAAAAAAAATGTTACACAAATACTTAAGAATATCAGAGTGCAGTTCCGTACAAATAAAGGACGATATAGTTTATTTATTCACGAGAAAAAAAAACATCGTATATCGGGAGAATTATATGCATGATTGATTCAATTGATTGCAATAACTTGTGTTTGTTTTACTGTACAAACTTTGATTTGAAGTCTTATCTAAATAGCGCTTGCTTTTTTAAAAGAATAATAGCGGTTGTATCACGAGAATTTGAAATACATCATGATATTATCGCATTGCTCTGTCATTTCATTATTTTATCATCTACATGAAACAAATCGCTTTCTTTTCTCTAAAACAAAAAGTTTTTTACTTCTTTTCGTCCTTATGTTATTTCAACATAATATTAATAATGGATGAGTCATAACTCTACGACACGTTGGCCAGGTGAGAGAATCCGCACAACGTTTTACATTAAGCTGAATCATAAATATATATTTGTCTGTTCACAGCGATGTTGACGTGTCTTATACGACGTGGCAATAGCTAAAAAAACTCGTTAAATAGTGACGGTTCATGAGGGATTGAATCGAAAACAACTTTCATCTGCTTCATACTTCAAATAATATACGGCAATGGGTCTTTTTCTCAGTCGAATGTATGATGTTCTCTCTGCATGGGGTACAGAAAAACCATCACGAATTTTAATGCTTGGTCTTGATGCAGCCGGTAAAACAACAATTCTATATAAAGTTAAACTTAATGAAAATCTTCAAACTATTCCTACAATCGGTATGCATTTACACTCACATATAAATATAATAAAATATTTTATTATTTTCATTGTAGGTTTTAATGTTGAACAAGTGAGTCCATGTCGTGGAGTTTCATTTACTGTATGGGATGTATGTATTTGACACAAAAACCAATCATATTTGATATTCAATTCTAATCTTAAACTTTCTTTTGTCTTTTCTTAATTAGGTTGGTGGTCAAGAAAAAATTCGTCGTCTCTGGCAACATTATTATCAAGGTGCCGATGGTCTTATATTCGTTGTTGATAGTAGTGATCAAGATCGAATTGATGAAGCACGAGAAGAACTTCATGGTATTCTTTCATCACATGATATGTCCTCTGTACCAATAGTTGTCATAGCGAATAAACAAGATTTACCTAGTAAGTTCGAATAATTATTATGAACATATTTTTCTAAAATTTCCGTTACAAATAGATGCAATGAAACCATCGGATATTATCCAAAAATTAGGTGTAAATGAATTACGTGCTAAACATAAATGGTATATTCAACCAGCTTGTGCAGTAACCGGTGAAGGTTTAATTGAAGCAATGCTTGAAATGGCAAATCTCGTTAAACAACATAGAAAAGAAAATGATTAGAAAAAGACAGAATTATTTTTTGTATATATATATTAATACCATTCGACCTTTTTTTCTAGTTTTTGAATAAAACAAAGAAAATAATTTTTTGTATATTTTTACATAAATTGTTTGTTTTTAATCGAAAGCTGACCCGAAAGAAAAAAGAATCGACAATACACTTATACAAAAAAAAACAGAAGAAAAAGAAAACAGTTAATCATATATCTCCCCTAATTGAAAAAAAAATAAATAAATAAAATGAGTATTGTATTTTTCCCTTAGATTAAATCAATTGATCATGTCACTGTATTTGATAAGAAGATAAATTAAATTAGTACAATGTTGTTGATTCATCATTATTATTTGCATTAAATCGTATTGGAAACATCAGTGCTTTGGCACTCATAAAATTTAAATTAGGTAAACTATCAATTATACGTTTAGCATCATCATTTAATATTGTTGTTGAGCCAGGAAATAGATCCATTGTTTTAATTGGTATTGAATTTGATTGTTGTTTTTGTTGTTGCCGTTGAATAATAGGACTATCAGTTCCTTGAGTAGATGATGGAGTTGTTGTTTGTTCGTCTTCATTGAAAGATTTTGTTGTTGGAACATAAAAATCCAGATCAAGTGTTTTATTTGCGTCGAAAACTATAAAAAGAAAAAAGAATATAATGTTTTTTTTTTCTAATGTAGACGTTTTTTTTTCTTTTAAATAACGTTTGTATTAGTAGCCACATGCAAGAGCATTCATTTATTATTATTAAAAGAAATTGTTTAATTAATTTGAATTAATTACGTGCGCTTAACTTACCATTATCCTCATCTTTATTGATATTCGACGAATTACATGGACTATCATTATCTAATATATATGGATAATCGATTTTTTTTTCTTCTTTTTATGTTATTCTTTTTTATATGTTTTTCAAATAAAAAAGAATGAGTTAAAAATGATTACCTGTAAGTGGATTTTCTAAACCACTTTGTTTCCAATCAAAATGTGGACGAATAGTTTCAGTTGATAACTAAATTGATCAAGGAAAATCGATTAACACAATATTTAATGGATTAAAATGTGAAACACGATGTAATCACTGTGGCTAACCACAAGAAGATTGTTTTATTCTATCTATTTCAGGACACATTTCTTCACCATCTCTTTACTTAATCTTTCAGAAATGTAATAAGAAAGTAGGTCATATATTATAACAAAACATTATTGACATACGGCTTTTGATCGTATATAAACAACAGTCGTAAAGATTTCTGACTAGCGTCTGTTATGGTTAGAGCTTATTGAATCTGAGCCTAATCGAGCTGTACTTTGATACTCGCAATGAAATTTTCTAATCAAAATTTGACTTGGACCAATCCGATAGAGCTCTAGTAATAGTGGCTGATTTTTGCTTGTTGAATGTTCAAATTCTTAACCCTATATTTCAACATTTCTCTTAGATCGTGTTTCACAAAATAAAAGAAACGATTTGTTTATTGTATATGATATATATTTTACTTTATTTTCATTATCAATGTGTTCTGATTCGTTATTTGTTGAAGTATTTTGTTTGAGTTTTTCTGGTTGTAAAACTTCTGGTGTTAACGGAACACTTTTTGTCTAATAAGAAAGTGTTTTTTTTTTGGTATAAATATGATTTATAAAAAAAAATCACATACACGAAAACGTTCATTAACTCCTAATGCTTGATGAAATATACGTTCTGTATTAGATTTACGCCATTGAAATTTAATTCCTATTGGATCATTTGATATATTTGATAAAATATCCCATAAACTTGAAAAATAAATATTAAGATATTATTGATGAATAATTAAATACTTACGATAGACTAGATTCAAGACATAATATTTGTTTTGTTGGGTTTTTATAAGTAGTAAAAGAAGGTAAGTCAGTAGATATTAAAGAATCATCATTTGTCGATGATGTTAAAGATTCGACAGGAAAACATACCGAGATTAAAGATTCAATTTGTTCAGTACTTAAAATATTCTATATAGAGAAGAATTAATTTAATTTCAAATAAAAATATAGATAAATGAATTTACAGTTGATACAGTGGATGCTTGAGGTTTTGGAGCAACTTGTACTTCACTAAATTCACCGAAATCATCATCTTCTTCTGCTGTTTCTTTAGTAGTTGGTTCATCAGTGGTTGATGGTATTGGTGATTCAAAGACTAACACTGTATTGGATTTAAAATCAGCCCAACCATTTTCAGTATTTTCTTCAATGTTGGTTGATGTTGTTTTAGGAAAAGTCTAAAATTGCATACTTATTAGCTTTACAAAGAAGTCTTATACGATTTCTCTGATGTTTCAGTCATAAATGCAAGTGATTTATGGTTAGCAGTAGCCGCTAATGGAACTATACATGAACAAAACCAGTGGATTTTTCGATCCAGTCTAAAGAAAACTACCTCAGAATTTATTCGTATCACATCTAACTACAGTTTTTAGTTCTAGTTGGGATAACAGTCTTCTCGTCCGTGGCATTTTTATTCAATTGACGTAAAACAATATTCTTTGCTTCTATTATATTGACATACTGAATAGGAAGTTTTCTTAATACTTTTAATGTGTCTATGAATATGAAAGAAAAAAAACTCTATTAAATGATTCGCCTCTGGAATATCACCAGATTTATTTTCGAATGTAGCAAAATT